ACGATGGTACGCAATTATAATCAAACAAAAACATGCTTTGTTTTGTAATGCTATGTATAGATAGGGCTGAGTCAAGGGATAAGAACGTGGTGACAGTGTTAAATTGCTAAAGTTGTCACAACTTCTTCTAATCAATGGTTCCAATAAAACCATTTTTTCTTATTTTCTTTGAATAAATATAATTTCTAAGATCGTATATTCCAATCATCATCTACAGCAACATAATACTTAATTCAATAATATGCTAAAAACTAACAGATAGTGTCATGGTTAACAGATAATTTAATATATTACGTATTTGGCCAGATCTTTGAGTGAATCACTGTGTCTTCTAACTTATTCTGACAAAGTTATTCTAACCTCTTAAATCAATTTTATGATACAATATTTAAATTTCAGAAGATATATTTTCAATTTACATGAGAAAATAGAATCTTACAAATACTTGACAAATTAAGCCAACTTTTTGTATAAAAAAAAGTATATAACCTTTAATATATTTGAATTGGACTTTTTTATTTATTAATTGCTGAACCATTATTTGTAAAATAATATTAACAAAATTAGTATTTTAATTAATAAGCTGAAAATGGTTATTTATACGAGTTGAATTATCAAGTAATTAATGAGAGGTTATATTAATACTGTTAAAGTATTTTATCATTATTTTAATAAAAAAATACTTATTAATACACTGTTCTTTATTTTCAGAATATTAAAGCCGAGATTCTATTGCTAATGTTGTTATTATAATAATAGTCTTCGTTGAATATGATTGACTATCTGGTCACTAAAAATATCATTAACACTGATTCTTTTCTTTATTGGTTGATTTTAAATGATGATATATAAATCGAGGTTAAGCTGTTAACTTCACATTAAAAAATGTAAATTTGTATTATTATTCGACTATTAGTTTTGTCTAATTTATATTAAGTGTATAAAGTATTTAAGAATTAGGTAAAGATAAACAATTAAAAAAAACATTCATAGATGTTTCAAATTAGAAAAAAATAAAGAAGAAAGAAAGAAAGAAATTGAAGGAACATAAAGGCAAAATCAAATTAAGATTTAAAAGAATTATACGTTAAATTATTCATTTAGTTCCTCCGATAACTTTATTTTTTCTTCTATACATAAAAAAAAATTATTATTATATATATTATGTTTAATCTCTACTAGTTTCAATGAATTTAAACTATAAGAATTAAAAGAGGCTAAAACTGGAATATATAAGAATTTTAAAAATATATATATTAAAATGAATGAATTTTATATATACAAATTGAAGATAAAATTTGTATAATTAAACCCTAAAATATAACATTTTTTATAGTAGTTAGTAAATAATATAAATATCACTTTTCACATAAGCTTATTAAATAAAGATATTCGTCTTCGTTATTAAATAAAAATGTATCAGTAATATATTACTAATTTTTTAATTCAATGTTTGAGTGATGGTTGATTAATGATTAATGGATATTCAGTAATATACGTATTTGATTGTCCAAAAAAAAAACATCATTAAAAAAATCTGATCTCACCATGTTGTAAATATTTTTACCTTAAAAGCTTACACATGATACTTATGTTGTATATTAAAAAACAAAATGAAAGGCCATTGACAGCCATGGTACATAGACCTTCTGAAAGAGAGGAAATATTAAAAAGATTGCAAATATCATTTTCATAAGCAATCATTCAAATCTATCTTACAATATTAGTATTTTGTTTTATTTTTTTTTAAATGTTTGATTTGAAAGAAAAAATGAAAGAGAAGAATATAAAAAACTAAGATAAGAAAACGAGGAAGCATATACATTTTTGAAAGCAAACGGAAAATGAATAAAATTTTCTTCTGCTTTTCTAATTGAAAAGAAATAGTAGAAAACGAAAACAAAATTCTTGGCAATATATTATTACTTCCCAGTTATTATAATTACTTTTTGTCATAATAATCGTTATAATTAACAAATTAGATTATAAATCACTCAAAATCAATACTATATATATATATATATATATATATATATATATATATATACTAATTTAACAAAATAAAGTATTCAATATAAAGAAGTTTAAGTGCTATCAAATTCAAAATAAAATTATATAAATACATTAAATACAGATGTTTTCTTCTTTTTTTATTCATCAACAGAACCATCATGATCTATATAAAAAAACAAAAGAAAAATGTTATTATTTACTTAATTTTTCCTTTTCTTAGCCTACATCAAACACGGTATGAAACGAAATAAAATAAATTATTCTTGATAAATAAAAGTAAATAAACGTGCAAGTGTAAAATATTATTTTTAGTTCAAAAAATAATAGTACAAGTAATTATAATAACAAACTGTCAAAATAAAAAATAAAAAAATAAAAAAGAAGTCCTTCAAACTAAACAATTAATTTTTCTTAGATGAAAAATAAACAAAAATATAAGATAATTGATGTAAGAAACTAGAAAATAGAGTATTAGATTAGATAGGTATATTAAAATAATTAGACAAGCAAGTTACTTTAAAATAATCTTATAATATAAATAGAACTTTCTAAAGCTCGGTTCATTATCTAAAACACTTTTATCTCTCTAGGACCTTATTCACCTAGAGTCCTCTACCTTCTCTCTATATCTTCTCTCATTTGGGGTGTCGGTTTGACGATCAGGAGGTGCCTAGACGATCCTGGTATCAAAAGCTACCTCTTTCACCGATCAATTTCTAGATTTGGTAAGTGAAAAACACTCTTTCTTGGCCTTTAGGGTTCTTAACTTTTGTAGATGATTCTGCTCTTGCATGAACCGGGTGTTCATCTTCTTGAATTCCTAAATTTTTAGTGATTCTAAGGTTGGGTTCCAACTGTTAATCAGTGAATTGTAGGTTTTCTGAGAGTTCCTTGTACCGCAAATAATCCGTGGAGCGTTTAGAGGGCGTGAGCTGTTGAGTCAAGGTAAGGGGAGTTAGATTTTGTTTTTAAATTATTTGTATAACATGTGTATATGTTGAATTATATGTTATTTTGCTGTTTGAAGCACAATTTGGGTTTTTAGAGTGGATTGAATTGTATGTATTGAAATGTCTAACTGTGAAACTGTGAATTGGTGTTTGTGAATTGTTTTGGATCAGATGTACTTTTGTAATTGAGTATGTTGGAGATGTGAAATCTGTTATGATAATTATTAGGCATGAGGTCAAGGGCATTATAGTGTTTTGGGGCAATTTAGAGGAAGTGAGGTATTGAATTTGAGAATTAGAGGTCAAAGGCTCATTTGGTCTGTTGGGGCAGTTTGGGTAAGTTATTTGTGACTTGTTTGAGTCATTTAAATGGTCAAAAACATGTGCAAAGTGGTATAATTGAATTTGGGTCTTTAAGTTGAGAAATTTGATGTTCTAGAATAGGATTTGGTTCATAATCACTTTAGATTGAAGTTAGGAAGGTTTAAAATCACTAAGTCAAGTTTAATTAGGTATGTAAAATCATTTAGGAGTCTTAGAAGTTGAGAAAAATAGAAAGAATTGGTATTTGGGGTTTGAGTTGCATAATTCTGCAGATTTTCGTTCTGCAGATTATGCAAACTCGCTAAGCGAATGGATTCGCATAACGAACTAGTGCGTTGTGCGAATGGTTTGAGAGGTTTTCTCTCTGTTTGATGATTCGCATGGTGAATCTGGGCGCTGTGCTACTGGTTGTGGTCTGGGAGCATTGTCAAGTTTATCCGAATGGCAAAAAGGGGACGTGCAGCGAGTGTTTGGGGAGTTTGGTCTATGTCTGGGCTTCGCATAACGACCTGGGGGCGCTATGCGAGGGGTTGATGTCTGGTACCTCTGCGAGTTAATTCGCACAGCGAGAGAGGTCATTATGCGAGAAACTCCTGGTTTCGCACTACGAATAGGGTGCGCTGAGCGAAAGGTCTGAGTTAGTCTACTCTTTATTTCTTTGTCTTGAGTTGAATTAAGTCAAGTGTTGCATGTATTGTGAAGTGTGTTTGAGGGTGTATGGTAATATATAATTGGGTATTATTATGAGTGAATTTACAAGTGAAAGTATGTGATTTCAAAGTATGGTTGATGGACGTAATTCCATGATCCTCACGGAGAGGTTACATGGTGGTGCCTTGTGTAAGTTTAGAATGATTGTAGGAAGTTCAGTCTTGGGGGTTATCCTGAAAGTCCAATGGTCTTTCATTCTCAAGTAGAGAGGATTGAACCATGTCGTGAGGAATAGTAGGAGGTCTTAGTCTTGGGGGCTTCCAGTATGCCTCAAGGTCCGGAACAGACTAACCTCGTGAGTATGGTAGCGTGAAATTCATTGGCAATGGCTTTGCAAAGCAGTAGAGGACACCACGAGTGCATGAACCGCTATAGCTCGGCAATCATTCTAAGTCCGGACAGTCAAAGTGAGTGTAGTGTCTCGCATCAAGTATTTCATGTTAGAAATGACTATGTATAACTATATGAAACATAGTTGGTAAATATAATCGTTTTCTTTTATTTAAACTAGTTTACCCTTGCTTTTTTGTTGTCTGTTTTTGTATGTTTTTTCTTTTGCGATGATCGATTGGTTTGAGCTTAGAGAGACATTTGTTTTAGTTACTTCAGCGATAAGTGATCGAGAGAATCCAGTATAGAAGTCGGACGAATCTACTGGTGTAGATATAGTTTTTCGTAGGTTTTTTTCTTATAGTAGTTAATTTATCATATATGTAATATTCATTTTAGTAGTATTTTGCTATTAAAAATGGGATGTTAGAAATGAAATTTTCATTCAGTTTAAAAAAATATAAAGAAGCTATGTTTCTATAGATAAAAATTCAATTTTTATAATTACCTTCTACCGACTTTTCACTCTGCCCTCAGTTTCTTACAGTAGCAGGCAGGGTTAAGGTTGGTGTGTATCTCAGTTTCTATCAAGTTAACCCAATCAGTTAACAAAATTTGGCAGGTCAATGACCAAAAACAAAATGCAACCAAAAAGGCCGAGTCACTTGCAGAGGGAAGAATAATCACAAATTTATTCAGGACAATTGTCTTAGATATAGACATTATCCTTACTATTTATCCCTCAGCAGTAACTTTCCAGAACACTGGTAAACAATACCACAGAAGATTACATATGACTCTAGCTACGATATAACAGAATCTTGATGTCACTAAAAATTGCTTGAATTCAGATTTATAAGAAGCTGATGCTCATATTCAATCTTGATGCCACTGTTCTTGGATCTTAGAAACCATGAAGCTTGATATGTTCTTTCTTCACTATGCCAGCCTGTTTGTAACATCACAGACGAATTTAGATACAATCACAATACTATTTTGGAAAATGCTTTTTTATTTTGCACCAGTTGACAATTTAAAGATATTTTGGTCATCAAAAAAAGTTAACTTTTGTATTTGTAAAGAAAAGAAATGTAAAGTGTCTGTAAAATTTTGCTGGGTGTCTCTACCTGCACAAGGAAAGTAGAAACATTCTTTCTTTGATCTCCCTGAAGTTGTATAACCTACATATGATACATATGATAAGAATGATGAGAGATGATGCAACCAATGGCATTTGTCGAAAATCATGTAACATAAGAGGAATTTTTTTATGAACAGAAACACACAAACCTGGCCCAACTCAGGGTCTTGAACAACAGTACCATTGCAGCAGAATTCTTTCTTCAGGTCTTTTAGTATTTTGCTGTAGCTATACTCTTTCTTTAATCCTTGAACAGTTGTTAGGCTTTTCCTTCCGTTACGTTGTTGTACACGAACATGAACATACTCTTTCGTCCCAGCACCTGAGTCCTCAGCATTTGCCTCAGCAAAGGGATCTATGTTTCAATTTTCAAACCACATCAGAGAGCAAACCATTGATAAAGTGCTGCATTCTGGTTTCAGACTAAGGCTTTATTCACTTAAATGAATTTTGGGGAGAGTGATTAAATGGATTTGAGAGGATTTGAAGGTAAAATTTTTGTTATTTATTTGAGTGGATTTGGAGCTAAGTGAGAGTGGATTTGGAAGTAAAGTTTGTGAGAATTAGTATAAGATTTCATTGATATGAAAGAGTAAAAAAGTTTACTTCCAAATCCACTCTCACTTCCTTCCAAATCTACTCAAATAAAACAAAAAATTTACTCCAAATTCTCTCAAATTCATTCAATCACACTCTCCCAAATTCATTCATGGGTATGCCATAATAAGAAATTCATTCATTGGTATGCCATAAAAAGTATATATATATATATATATATATATATATATATATATATATATATATATATATATATATATATATATTCAACACCCACCAAAAGCACTTGGGATGTTTGTTTCGAATTCAGACATGAAAGTTGCCCTTGGTTACTTGTAACAAGCAAAGTCCTTCTGATGTAATTAATCAACAAGCACTGGAAACAGAAATTAAATATACTACAAGTCAGATATGAGATTTGATGTTTGACATTTTCGATGATGCTACTCTTGTGTTTATGCTCACTGCTAATTCTCATCCGACAAAATATGAACAAGAAAGACAGCAACTTTTATCACCTTACCACCGCACCTTAGAATTCTCAAATTATGGTCTCATGAGTACGACATTTGCATCCGAAAACACAAATTTATTTATTTCACCATCATCAATAGTAAAAAGGCCAATATAAAATAGTCCAGAAAGTGAGGGAAGTTATGAGATCTGCATAATTCTGTGCACATAATCATCAATAAAAACACAACTATGACAATGTATCAACTACCAAATTAAGATTAGTCTGATGAAAGATGTCCTTGGAATGTATACACGTATAGATACATGCATACATACAAAGAAAAGACACATTACACACGTAAATACCGTGCATATAAAGAGAAGAACCATTTAGCTTTGTAATAACTAGAATGTATCAAAAGTTTAAAGCATCATTCACAAGTCATTTCTTTCACCAAAAGTCTAAAGAAACACAGAAAAACAAAACCATGACAATAATGCCAAATAAATTGAACCCCAACTGAAAACAGGGTTAAGATTGACTAACTCAACAAAAGAATGATACTGTTATCATGATCATGCAAATCACAAATACAAAAGAAACCATCTTCAAATCCTGTTAATACAGGGTCACGTTAAGAAAGAACTAACATCACAATCCGAATGAAAAATTAATATCTGCGCATTAAAGAAACTCTTTTTCGAAAAAAACGAGGGGTTAATTACGAACTTCCGTTGCGTACGTAAAACGCGGAATGAATGAAACAAACCCAGTAAGCAATGATAAAATAAATAGAGCGATCAGAAGAATAAAATGAAAAGGAAACAGGAATAATGCAGAAAAGGTAAAATAATGATGAAAAACGAAATACCTAACACTTGCGAGAAAGGAAGAAAGAAGAAAGGAGCAAGGAAGGAAGGAAATAACGAAAAACGTGAGAGAAATAGGAACAATAGGTGGGTCAAGTTTATATATAGAACGATTTAAGATACGAGAAAAGTGCTCCCAACCACCTAATTGGTTACCCAATTTCATTGTCGAAATTCAGATCATCTTTTCACCTCATATAATATAATATATTATTATTTTTAATAAGGATTTTAATATTATTTCACTTCAAAATGTTACTTTAATTGTAATTTATTTTTACTTTAAAGTATATATCAATGTGTTCCTATGTGTTTTAAAAAATGTATAACCATCAAAAAATCATAGTTATTTACTTTAAAGATTCTCTTTTTTCCATGTAACATTTTTCTCATCACTACATATCTCTTTATATTCTTAAAAGTGACTACGGAATAGTGATATCTCTTTATATTCTTAACAATGACTATGAAGGCCAGCGGAGGTTGATGATTTAGTAGTAGAAGTTCAAATAGACATGGAGAGAAGTTTAGGGTTTAGGCCCTTTGTGTCTATAACGACACATTCGACCAAGTCATCAATTATAATAAGTATTATTTTTAGTCGCTCACGAGGAAAAGGGATGTACAATGAAGGATGCTTCAAAAGCCTATGCAACTAAGGGTGAAAGGCATAGTTGAGGTCGAGTTCCATGGCTTCTATGATGTGACGGCAAATAAGTTTTTCCTAATGTCGAGAAAAATGCTAATATATTACAAGAATACTTTTCAAATATTAAAAGTTTAGTGTCTATGTGGGGTTAAAGATAATTAGCTTAAAGTTTTACGATTGTCACATCTTAATGCAACAATTATTACTCCGTAGTAATTTTACGTAATTTTATCCAAAAATGTTAGGCAAACTATAACTTGTTTGTGTTTATTCTTCTCTTCAATTTGTAGTAAAATCATTGACTTGGTAAGTGATCCTTCCTCTTCCTCCATCTACACCCAATAGTCCATACTATTTATTTTGATTTTTGTTCCATATAAAAGTTGTAATAACTTTTTATCCTGATTGCTTCCCACACCAACTTAGCTATTCCCCAAGCTAAATTTTAAACCTAGATGTTATGTTCTCAATCCCTCATCTCTATTATAGTTCTACCTTGACAATTGAAGATTATCTACAACCTTAGGAACTTGTAACATAAAGGTGTTCCTCCTTCCCATTTGTCTTTCCAGAATAAGATTTTATTCTCTTCTCCTACTTTATAATCAAAATTGTTGTCAAAACAATTATCTTGTTGACGATTCCCACATACCAAATGTAGGTCACACCATCACTAGGACTCATATTGTGCTTTGTCATGTTCATTTAACTTTTTCCATGAACCATACTTAGATTCTATAACCTCCTTTCAAACACCTTGGTTTTTCAAACCTAAGAATGTGAACATACTATGGATCAATATACTTAAGATGATTATATCTTATTAAGAATTATATGAAAACTTTAATTGTTCAATTATTTAAGTTGTAAGTCTCTTTACCAATTCTTTAATGTTAATTATTGTATCTAGTTAATTACTTATGTTTTAAATCAATTGATTTTAGGTATATGTTTATATTATGTTAGAATGAAGGAACACACCATGTGTATGAGTTAATGAACCCCCAACTTGTAACATCCCATAATCTCACACTTGATAATTCATAATTGATATATTGTAGCATTTCATTTAAGGTAACATCTCTTAATCTCACACTTGATAATTCACAGTTGATATATATATATATATATATATATATATATATATATGTTTTAAACTCAGATTTCAACTATAAACTCATAAATATAACTCGAATTCTTCTAATTTATTCTTCTATCTCTTTCTTCATTGGCACTGAATCAGACGATATTCCTTCATCTGCTCCCGTATAACGAATTATACGATCATCGCACATACACAAACACAAACAAGTAGGGTGAGCTAACATGCAACAAATCATTCATAAAACATGCATAATTACTTTGATACACTCAACAAACATCATATAATAATTATGTCAGACACCCTCATACCATCATACCACAATTCCTAATAGACACTCATCCCACAATACCCCATAAACACTCATCCCCAATACTCAATAGACACTCATTCCACAATACCCAATAGACACCATCCCATAGTACCCCATAAACACTCATCCCACAATACCAATAGGGAACTCC